TTATAGTTGACGAATTTCGCTGTCTATTCCAGTGTTTTCTTATTGTTATTTTGGAAGGTTGGGGCTTCTTTCCAATGGTTATAAATTCAACACTTTTGGCGCATGAACTCTTTCGGTTTCTTTCTCGCGAATGATTGCTGCATCTCTCGGCGCGCTGCATCTGGAGCATGCAGCAGAGCAGTAAAAGCTAAGCTATCTTATTGGAAAGTCACTGGAAACTCGATCTGCGGTCACCTTCGAGCGGTTGGAGGAGCCGTGAATTCCACAGATGAACTGACGGACGGAGCAACTCGAACTCGATCTCCAATGACTTTGCAAAACAGAAACGAAAACAAAAGAACCAACTACTAACAAAGGACGATCTTCGAACGCCATGAGATCTACCACATGCCGACAGTATACAATACTTTCACCGAAAGAAGTAGCTTTCATATTACACGCAAAGTTATACCAATAATGCCAGCATACCACGTATTCCATCGAAATCCCGTCTCAGGAACACGCTTACTCGTGCACAAGAGGACCGGCACGAAACACGCGCACATCCGAGCAGTGCTCGACCACGAACGTGCATGGTCGGAAACAGCCAGACGAGGGACAGAGAAGCCAGACGTGAGACCTTGGGCATTCCTACGCAGTGCTTTCGAACGAGATCAACGAGGGTACGTGAAGCCTGAGGCTTTGTGTTCTCTCTATTTGTTAATGAATGGAGTTCTATCGTTTTGCCTTAAATAATTTATGCTCATCCGGTTTATATTTTGCTGACGCCGGTGCAAATGCCTCACATGAGGGGAGGAAGAGGCGGATGAGCCGGGTTCGCCTCTGTCCCATCGGGGAAAACAAAAAATTCACCCGCATGCCGATCGGTGTGTGAGCGAGGCCCGTTTTAGTCATCCGAGTCTCTCCGAGAAATTTTCTAGTCTTCGATCGCTCAATTTTGGCTAGAGTAACCACGGTCCTTTCACGCCATATATGTCACTAAGCTTATTCCAACGAAAAAACGTAACCTTTTGAGAGTCGTGAACGACTCAGAACGCAACGACAGACGCTCGTAGTGCCGCCGACACGATCCACGTGGAAAGTGGAGTGGAAACTTTGATTTTCATGGAAAGAGAGGGAGGGACGGGGAAAATGCCTTTCAAGCCAATCTTACTTGCCTGAAGCGCGGAGTTTCTCCTTGCGTTGTCTCCTAATCTCTTAATCCTGTTTCCTAATCTACCTTCTCGATGCTTGTGTGCATGTCGCATCGATCCACTTTCGTCTTCGAGGTCGTTCGTTCGATGAACCGATGGAAATTGTCTTGAGGAAAAATCCCTCCCCGCCCCCACCTTTTTCAGAGAAGAGACGATCCCACCGTACGTGACCCCGAGTCGACCGTGCTGGCGGCGACGCAAAGGCAATGCCATGCAGATGCAGACACGCGGATTGCCAATACGTCCTCGTCCAAATTTCTCCGCATCGCCCTGCTAGACAAAAAAAAAAGAAACACCAGAACGGAATATATCAATAGTGAAATCGACGAGGAAAGAAGTCCACACCACAGAGAAGAGAGTTTAACTAGAGCAGGGAAGTGCAACCGGCCCGGTAATGCATAATGGGATAGCAGATAAGATGAACCTGTTCCCTCTCTCTCCCGCTCCCCATAAAACAGGTTTTGAGACGAAAGAAAGGCAGGGGTTTTGACGGTCTCCGAGAGGCTAAAAGAAGCGGCACTCCATGAGGTGCTTCATGAGGTGCTTCATGAGGTGCTCATGCCGCCTGATCCTTTCTCGACCCTTGCTGAACTATCCGCGCAATTATTCATCCCTAACAAATGGAAAAAGTCGCCGGTGAGAGGAATCACACCACAGGGTTTGAACCGAGCCGTCGGACGACCTCACGACTTCGCCGCTCACGCCTCCCTTCCGAAGAAAAGCCTGCGGCAGGAGGCGGGCGAGGCGCGCGCATTCGGTCCATCTCCGACCTCAGTCGTGCGCAGGTCTCGGTCTGACGAGGGTCCCCCGTTGAGACACGGCTTGCCAACGGTCGTTGTATCTCCCACGTTCAGTCTCCAGCTGTGGTCACCGTTGAACAGCTGTGAATTCGAAAGATGACGGATCGAGCAACTCGATTTCCAATGACGTTGCAAAACGGAAACGAAAACAAAAGAGCCAACTGACTTCGAACACGAAGAGATCTACCGCATGCCGAACGTATGAAATACCTTCGCCGAAACTTCCATAACACATGCAAAATGATACAAATATTGCCAACAAATTTTTTACGAAATTTTTACTGGCCTTGACCAGAGAAGTACTGACTCCTCTAGCACGAATTTGGGACAAATTGCCTAAGCTCTGCTCCGTTTTCACGCTGGGATTTCAATAATTTACTAGCTTATGCATTACTGAATTTAAAAATTTTCATTATCTATCAAGGTTTCAAACTCCTTCCACAATGGCACTTGGGATGATAAGAGAAAGCGAATCCATGTCGGGGGTGGTCGGAGATCCATTTCCTGCCAGGTCGGATTTATCGAAAGCGTGATTTGGCAAGTCTGCGATATTGATGAAATTTTGCGGAGGGAAACCGGGTATGTTCTCGCATTTAAGTTGCACCGTTTCGCCCTAGCACAGTAGCATGGGGAAAAGGCCAAACACGTGGAACACTTGGCTCAGTAATAACGTTGCTTTTCCCTAAATGAAACCTCGAAATTAAAAGGAACGGGAATGGAAGGGACACTGAAGGGCGTTGAGTCACGTCCCGCGGAAGGAGAGGCCTCGCAATCGTCTTTCCTCTGATACGTCCCACGGAAGCAAGAGGCGACTCAAGGGAGGATTCCACGCCGCCTCCTCCGTCCTAGTGCTTCCACCTCCCCCATCCCGGTGCTTCCATCGTCGGGGCGTGCGTTCCTTCCTCCCGGCACGTACGTGCGTGGTGTTTCCTGTGGAAGTGTTTGCTTTCGTTAAGCGTGCATGTCGTCATGTTGCATAGGTTATGAGAATGCAGCGATGAAGTCAGCTGCTTCCTCCGCTTCTTCGCGTTTCCTCCAACGGGATACACTTTTTCCTTCTCTTGCCGAAAAATGGAACCCATAGGTCCAAACCACAACGACCAACCGGTGAAAGAAATCGCCGCGGCAACGAAGGAGACAGCGCGAATCGAAGCTTTCCTCCATCCGAACACCCGATTCCGCTAAAAAAAAATGCTCGCCAGAGGGCACGACCTCTTCTTCCCATCTAGATGTGACATCATACTGGTGTAAAGTAATCGTTCCGGCAGCATTCCTGCGGCATTCACGAATGCTGGATGGAAGTCGAAGAAGAGCATAACTCGACTGGCTCGCCCAATCGGATCTCACTAGAGATTCGCTCTAGCGCCACGTGCATCAGTTCACATTGAGAAATCAATCAGAAGAGAAGCTAAATGAAACTTAATGTGTTTTTTTAATGTTTTTTTTTTCTTACCAAAATGCTTTAAAAGATTTTTTACGTCTTCGAACCGCGTCCTGCTCAACGTTGTCCCTAGTTGCTCCTAGTTGATCCTGTTGTCCCTAATTGATATAGGGACGTTTGGCTCTGTCTGCCCGAATCTATATCGTTTCTCCGTGAGCGGACAAATTGTCGCAAGCACAAAATGTCGCCAGGACAAATTGTCGCCAGGACAAATTGTCGCCAGGACAAATTGTCGCCAGGACAAATTGTCGCCGGACAAAATGTCGCCAGGACAAAATGTCGCCAAGAAAAAATGTCACCGCTGAGAAAATGGTGGTTCTGGTGTTATATGGTTGGAGGTTGAACTGGGATAGGTATAGGGAGAAAGTTTGCTTCAGGAAAAAGCCGAGTAACAAGTACAAGCTAATATTCTTTCAAAATAAGAAATCACATGAAGATATTCACAAAGTCCAAAAAAGGGGGAATCACATGACAGATAAAGTTCAGTCACAGGACATTAATGTTGANTTGAACGATATTTCTGGTGACTTCTTCAGTTTCTTTAGCCCGTCTTTTCATATCAGCGCGTACTTGATCAACTTCAGATCTACCATGGTCAGGTCCATGATTGTGTTCTCCTATAAAAGGAAAATTGGTTGTGAACTTTTCTTATGAATGCTTAAGAAAGGCTTAAGAAAAAGAGCATAATAGAAAAATAAATCCCAGCTATAAATTGGCAATAAAAAATTTTCATGAAGTATGTCTATTTTAGTCAATATACAGTATATATTTATTACATAGCTTATTATGTGTAGAACATCTGATTTCTTACTCATAGACTTCAGAAAACTATTTCCAGTTCTAACGCAAATACATTAGTTCAAAGCTCTCCGAATGGATAGATATGCAAAAATACTCTGCTCACCTGGTTCCTTCAGCACTTGATCTCCAAGAGTATGCATTCTTGCTTTACAAGTCCTGTTTTCACATCTCCAAATGATCTTCCCTTGAACAACATACTTCTCGCTCGTGAATCGGTAGTTTTGATGCAGCAACTTCTGCGTGTTCTTCTGTGTTTGAATCGACTCCATCTCGTCAGGGAATGGGACAATAGGCAGATGAATTGAGTTATGAGTTGCAAATCGCCGCTTTATATACGGTAGGTTTTTTTCCCTCCCCCTGCTATTTGGTTTCCTTATCTATTTTGAATGACCTTTTTAGCTTATGGGCATCTCAGCGGGGGGAGTAGGAGTCTCCTTCATCGGGCTTTTTTTAAAACAAGAGGATTATTGGTGAGGATGACTTGTAAGGGGGGCGGAAGAAGAGGAAAATTAATATTTTTCCTTGGGTTGCTTCCCTTTCCGTTAACATTAGTCCAATACATTTTTCCCGCGACATTTTGTCCTGGCGACATTTTGTCCTGGCGACAATTTGTCCGGCGACATTTTGTCCTAGCACCCGTTTCTCTCTCCAATGACAGAACACGACCGTCGATCCAAATTTTTGCGCCGAATCGCCCAAAGTCGAAAAGTATGAAAAGTCTGTTGATCTTCATTCTCGTCCATCACGCGGCGGCTCAGATGAGACGGAGTGATTGCAGCAAAGAGGAGCGGTGAGATTCGTCTCGATCCTTTTATCCTTTTGTTCAGTACCACCGGAAAAAAAGTTGGGAAATGAATGGACTCGTCCCGACCATTCCTTTCGTCTTTCAGGCGCGATGAACTAAATCCATCGTTCGCAGAGGAATGCTGCGAAGGGTACGAGGCGTCGCCGCAGGGAGGGTGCAGGCCGACGTGCGGGAGGGGATGCATCCACGGGTCCTGCGAGGAGCCTGACAGGTGCAAGTGCGAGGCTGGATGGATGGTGAGCCGACTCGGACGTGGAAATGAATAACAAATTAATAAATGTATTTCCCATATTCTCTGCATTCGCGGACAGGGCGAATCTTGCGATAGTGTCCGTGGGACCGCTGGGGATCCGGATGCAAGAACAAATGCACCTGCGGCATCGGCAAGACCTGCTCTCCGGAGACCGGCACCTGCCCCGCAGGCTGGATGGTATTTTTCCCGCGTTTTTGAGCGTCAGCGAATTTTTTCGCAGCGCGAATTCATTCCGACGGGCTTTTCTGCATTCGCATTTTGGAAACGTTTTGCAGGGACCCATGTCCACCGAGACGATGGGGCCAGGGATGTTCAAATATCTGCGCTTGTCGCAGCTTCGAAATCTGCGACCCCGTTAGCGGCAATTGCACTTGCTTTGCCGGATGGACCGTACGTTCTCTCTGCTTTCAGTATGGAGCGGACACAAAGGGCTTCACTGATTGCAAAACTTGAGTTCGAATACAAAAATGTCCAAATTTAATGGTTTGTTTTTGCTTTGAATAATGCAGTCCTCCTTTTTTTTTAAACATTCAAGTTTTCCCCACAGAAAACTCCAAAGTTGTCGCGTGCTAGATTGGATTGGCCTCTTAGTTCTCATTGCCAATGTTTATTTATTTATTTATTTATATCATTTCAAGTTCGCATTCGTCGGGAATTTCTTGCCGTAACCGAGACAGAACGAATGAAACTTTTCGAAAAATGCCGAAAACCTAGTCCTAGAGTATAAGAATCCCGATAAGGTTTGCACCATTCTTTTGACCAGGGATGGCCCGATGTGAAAACAAAGGATGTGATGGTGACAGAAAAAAGGCACTCACCTTCTTCAGTCGGTTTAATTATCCCGCTATATTTCCATTTAAGTCGGAGGAAAAAAGAAAATTGGTTTCAAGTCCGTCTAAGCTTTCGTGCCCACACCCGTCACAGAAAGCATTAATTCTCAATTCACATGGAATGATATACGATTTACTGCATTCGTTCCCAGGGAGAGGATTGCCTGGAGACGTGCTCGGACAGATGGGGACCCGACTGCAAGTATCGATGCGTCTGTCAAAACGGAGGAATCTGCAATGTCGTTAACGGGCACTGCACGTGTCTCCCCGGCTACGGAGGAAATGAGGTCTGCGCCGACCTCCTCCAGTTCTGGTTACCGTTCCTTCTGCGGGATTCCATTTCCCACCATCGGAGGGAGCTAGTAGTTCGCTCTGAGTTTCCCGGGTTTCGATCGTTTCCGATTCCCACTCGACTGGCGGGTCGCCGTCAGACCAAATGGCATCGTATCGCTTTCGTCGCTGCGACCGAAATGTTTTTCAAACTGAGAATCCTTTCCAAATTTTGAAAATTCCTTAAAGCCTGGGATATATATGCTTTCCATTCGGCACGACAACGTTGTGCCAACATTGAGAGAATGTTGATTTTTCAATGTAAAACAATGTTGCCACGATGTTGAAATGAAGCACAGCTCGACGTAGAAAAGTTGATGTGGTGCAACGGTGTGTCAATGTTGAATTGCCAAAGTACGGTCATTATAGTACCTCCTCCCTCATCCAGAGTCTGAACTTGATCAGCCGATGAGATTGAATACATATTCGTTAACCCCACGGAGGGTACCCAAACGGTATGATACAAGTAGTACTCCATCGAGTAAAATGTTCTCATATAAAGGACCATCAAAATCTCATATCCGGCCCTGACTCTGAATTCGAACCGTGTCCTTACATGACTCAACTCTCCCCGACCAGTAGAGGGAAACAAACCCACGGGCATATTATCAGGTTTTTTTCTCCGAGAGAGGGAAAGTTATGGGAAAGTGTGAAGATTTAGGAAAATTTGATTGTGTGTCCTCGGACCCGTGGGCAGAAGTACCCAGAGTCTCCTTCTTCCAGATTACCTCCTTAAATAGGTCTATCTAGAAATTCATATGTCTTCCCTTATGTTGTAAATGTGAAAAGATCGGGTACTGTGTGAAATATACATAGTACTGTTCATTTCAGGGCATCAGGGTCGGAATAGCCCAACCGGTGGTTAGGCGCCATCTCGCTTCGATTCGTATAACCCAATTCCTGTCGATATGATGCTGATAACTTCCCAAGAAACAACGTCGGAAACACGATGAAAAACGAATTTGCCCTTTTGCATCCTCTGAACGACTTCCTTAATTCACGTGTAGTAGCCATATGCGGAAAATACGGTTAAATTGTGAATAGCCAGCATTTCATCGATGTTGATTTTTCGCCGAATCATCGACTTCGACCAAGTCTCGACGTTTCAACCTTTTCCCAGTGTCGACAAAACGTTGTCATAGCGAACGAGAATTCATGCAGGAGTGGCGGAAATGTCCGCAACTTCATACATGAAAAGAATTCCCAGATGATTTTTTATCTGCTGCTTTAGTGCCAGTGCAGATGCGAGAACGGAGCGACGTGTTCCCCGGACGGCACCTGCATCTGCAGTACTGGATGGAACGGGACGCGGTGCGAGCGACGCGTCTGCCCCGACCACCTCTACGGACCCGACTGCGGCAAGGAGTGCAGGTGCGTGCCGGCCAGCACGGAAACGTGCGACCCGTTGATAGGCTGTCTGTGTAAGCCCGGCTGGGATGGTCCCGGGTGTTCCACCATTTGCCCGTCCGACCGATACGGGAAGAACTGCAGCTCAACGTGCTCGTGCAAGAATGAAGCTCGGTGCGATCCTGAGAATGGCGCTTGTGACTGTACTCCAGGTATATGACTGCCTTTCTTTTAGGTATGATTTAAGGTATTTAAAATCCTTCCACGCCAGGTGGTCCTGGGATTTTAGCCGGAAATTATCCTGAATCCGAAAATATAACTTTCGCAACAGAAGTTCGTCTCTTTTCCCAGATGGCAAGAATTAAACCAGAATATTTTACTTAGAGAATATTAAATTGAAAAATGTAGGATTTTCGTCACGATCATGATGCATAATTCATAACACTCTCGCGATACTAAAAAATGCGAGGAAAATGCAAATCCTGAGAGACTGAATTAGACGATTGGAACAGATGCCAGCATGGGTTCTCCGTGCATGCTGATCGTTCCAAATCGACTCATATTTCATTCATTCTAAAGAATGAACAGGAAACTTAATCACCAGGGTCCGCTTGACGACGAATATGTGAGCATTAGAGCATGTGACTTCAACTCGAACCGTCACGTCTGACGCGTTCCGCATGGGCGCACCTCTAAGAAAGGAAAGAGCGCAAAAGAATTTAGTTTGTGGAATGTCCTGTCAATACCGGAAGCAATTTTTTGCAGCCTTTATATGCTGATTACTCGCCCACAATATGCTTGAATGAATTTTCTATACTGAACATATTATTTCGGATGTCACGTCCGACACCATGCATAAAATATATGTTATAAAAAGTATGTACTCATTCGTCGTTGAACCCCTCTGCAGGCTATACAGGCCAACTGTGCGATGAGCATTGCCCGAGAGGAAAGTTCGGAAAGAATTGCACTCACAATTGCAACTGTCCAGGACATTTCCTCTGCTCTCCATTCGATGGAAAGTGCAGCTGCCAAGCAGGTAAGGATGATCCCCGCTTTCCGATTTTTTTTTTTTTTGCCCGATGGTATTCACGGAGGGGAAACACTATGGTCCAAAAGTGTCGAGTTCTCCAGATGAAATTATCATGGGAAAAAACGCCCTTCCTCTTCGTGGGAATATCTTCTTAGATTGCAGATCCTAATTAGAAAAAAAACGGCCGTGACGTCATTAATTTCTTCATAATTTTTGCATGCCGATATTTTTTCCCTCTCAAATTTCGGAATTCATTCAATATATTTTTTTCCGACGTGCCGAAAGCGCTGAATTTGGAAGACGCGTCGTTGCAGGCTGGTACGGGAGCGAATGCGCCACGAAATGCCTGGCTGGGAAATTCGGCGTGGACTGCAAGAAAGATTGCAAGTGCAAGAACGGCGCTGCGTGCGACCCCGCCACGGGCACCTGCACCTGCCCTCCGGGTTTCAAGGTGGGTCTTGCCGTTCATATATATGCATATTACAATATATTATTCAAATTTCTCGCCCACTTTTGGCCTCATCGACCAGGGCCAACGATGCGGGAGAAAGTGCGATCAATGGAGCTACGGTCTCAATTGCTCCAAAACGTGCGATTGCGAATTGGAATCCACCTCAAGCTGCGATACAGCCAATGGATCGTGCACCTGCAAACCCAACCGCTACGGTGAGTCGCGCTTGCTTTCATTTAAATAAATAACAAATATTTTTCATCGGCCGGACGGCTGTCCGTCTGTTCGATGCACCGTCGCCACAGACTATCGCGTCCTTGTGAGAACGCGAAATAAAACGCGTGACCTTGAAGGTCACAAGGTTCCGGCACCATGCGTTCCATCGACGCGCGCGGAAGGTTCAGGAAACCGCATCCTCGTGACCTCACACACCGGGGAATCTCTTCAACGGGCCCGAAGACAGGCTCGGCCGATGGCTTCCGAGACCGCGGGGAGAGGAGGGGGGCGGTGGGGCGGTGGGGCGAAGGGAGAAGGGTGGGGCGGGGGGCGTCTGTCTATGCTCCACTTCTATTCATCGTTTTATGCCTGATTTTTTTTTCGCAGAAATTCATGAAATTGACAGGTCTTTTTTTCATTCCTGCCAGGAAATATTATAAGCGCAATTTCAAGAAATGACCCACGGTACTTCGTGATGGGTACTTCGTTCCGCAGGTACGAAATGCGAGTCTCAATGCGGAGGAGGAACGATCGGCGAAGAATGCAACGAATATTGCAAATGCGGGGAGGAGTTGGTGTGCGACGGCCCAAAGCAGAAATGCTTCTGCCCGCCGGGCTGGACGGGGACAGGCTGCCGCGAGCACTGCCCTGGAGGCTTCTTCGGCCGCGGCTGCGGCGAGACCTGCCCCGAATGCGGAGACGGTGAGGGGATTCTGGTCATCGGTTTGGTTCTGTGGAAGAGGGGTGCGTGAATCATGACGCTCCGTTTCCTCGATTTTTTCGAGATGCTTCCGGTTCGGCGCAACTGGATTCATTGGGACGAAAAATGAAGTATGTCTTCGTAGATGTGGACTCGGGTGTTCCAGCGGTTAGGAATATTTCGGGAAATTCGATTAGATCGAACGACCGCATTTAATCACGACTTGATGTATAATGTAATAAGCCAGACTAATCCTGCAAATGAACCGAAACCGAATGCTTCGTTTACGACACGCGATGATGTTTTCGCTCATCCTGAAAGCGTTTCTGCACTTCGCAGTCTTCAGCAGAAAACTATTATGTTTTACGGAATCGGGGAAAATAAATTAATGCTTTGTTTTCCCGGTATTATCCAATAAGAAAACATCTGAATGAAATGTCAAAGGAAGCCAGGATGCAGGAAGCTACCCGAGAACGCACAAAACGTGCCGGCCTTTCCAAAAAGGCCAGCACGCGGCCTGGCCTTGGTGTCTGAGCTTCTCCTGCGGAACTTACAGTATACGTTTTTGTCATTTATCGTGGCATCGTTCCCATGCATCATGACTGATGGAAAATTCGCTTCGCTGCGATTCATTCCCCTTGTTTATATATTTCTCCGCCTTCGTTCTTCTTACTCAGATAGGAAAGTGGTGAGTGAACTTTGAAGTGGTAAGAGGGTGATTCGAATGAAAACAGCAAAAGTTAAACAATATTTATTGAAGCCTATACTGAGGAATCTCTTTACCTTTCATCATAGTCTCCTGCTCTTTCAATGCGCTTCTTTCATCGCTAAACTAATTACCTGGATTTCGTCCGAGAGAAGAATGCCTCTCGGAACGGTAAAAAAAAAGTTTATAGTTGCTTGGGGCCAAGTCAGGAGAATGAGGGGAGTGTGGTATAGCATTAAAATGCCGGGAAAATAGTTAAAAATGATGGGAAGTACTGAAAAAAAATTTTTTTAAATCAACCCTTGATGTTTTGTCAGGATAGCGGGCTTCAGGTGACACACACCACAGCACATCACAGTGTGATGCACTGTTCACAGTTTTCCCCTTCTTCGTGTGACTGTACAAAAACGCAAACCCCATGTTTAATCCTTCATACGATTAGCATCACCTTTCCTGGCCAGGTGGAACGGCATCTTCAAGATGATGAACGTCACTTTTTCAGCTTTCCGACGCATTCGGACCTTTGTGACGGACATTTCTCACCATGCGCATTAACCATCTTGCTCTCAACTCGATCTCGGTGCAATTATCCATGTACAGAAACAAAATGAGGATCAAGCTCAAGGGTGCCAAATGAAGCAAAGT